AAGTATTATTATTTTCCTAAACATTTTATTTATTTGAGATGGAGTCTCCCTCTGTCACCCAGGCTGGAGTACACCTCCACCTCCTGCGTTCATGCAATCCTCCTGCCTCAGTCTCCCCAGTAGCTGAGATTATAGGCACCCACCACCACACATGGCTAATTTCTGTATTTTTAGTAGAGACTGGGTTTCACCACCATGTTAGCCAGGCTGGTCTTGAACTCCTGACCTCAAGTGATCCACATGCATCAGCCTCCCAAAGTGCTGGGATTACAGGCATGAGCCACCACTACCAGCCTCCCTAAACATTTTAAACTGAGTTCTGGTGATAGAGTACTTGAATTTTTTTTCTTTTTTTTTAAGAGATGGAGTCTCACCTGTCATCCAGGCTGGAGTGCCGTGGCGTGATCTTGGCTCACTGCAACCTCTACCTCCTGGGTTCCAGCAATTCCCTGCCTCGGTCTCCCTAGTAGCTGGGATTACAGGTGTCTGCCACCATGCCCAACTAATTTTTCTATTTTTAGTACAGAATGGGTTTCACTATGTTGGTCAGGCTGGTCTTGAACACCTGACCTCATGATCCACCCACCTTGGCCTCCCAAAGTCCTGGGATTATAGGCGTGAGCCATCCCGCCTGGCAAAGGATGGCATTCTTAGTGGCAATACTGTTAAATATATCAAAACTTCATTTTTAAGAGCTACAAATAGTTTTACTTTAAAAAACTGAGACTTTATAAGATATTTTGAAGTAATTTAACAGAAAAATAAGCATTAATTTAGTTTACTGGCTATAACAGGAAAAACGAAGCTTATAGTGTAGGTAAAAAATCAGGTGTAATAACTGACAACATATATTTTAATTCTGCATTCAATTTATTTCTGCTTTTACATGGAGATTAAGTTTAAAAACTCAAGATTCAGACTAATAGGTAGTAGATTAGGGTAAAAGTACATAGAATAAGTCATGGGATATTACCTATTGCATTTATGTTTATAACTTGAGATTCCATGACAGCAGAGCTGAATATATCTGTGCGATTATATTCTATTTAAATCAGGCCCCATGCTGTTAAATTCTACCTTGTTTTTGTTTTCCTAAGAAAACCAAATAACTTCATAAATTAAAAAATCCCTGTTATTCCTCTTTGAATCATCCATCTAGAAGCTAAGAAGTTGTTCAGGTTGAGGAAACAAGCCCAACTCCTTTCTATAATTTTAGCACTAAAATTCAAATTTTATGGCTGCAATTTTATTAACAGCAAAAACACAGCCATTGCTTAAACAGAAAAGCTAATATTTCACTCAATAATTTTGCTAAACATATATATGACAAATATGTAAGAATGAGGACAAGGAATACCTGGCATTTTGATTAAATGTCTAATTCTCAAAAATAGCAATTACCTGAACAATGAAAAGCAGCTGAAACATATTGTGAACTTTATGTTCATTAATCATAGAATACACAAGAGCCTAGATTTTATATATTCACTAAATTAACGACACTTCAACATATGAATAGATTTATAAGACATTCCCTTTACTATCAAATGTTGATAGTAGCTTGTACCGCTTTGAATTTTGGATTATAACACTCTTCACCACTAATCCAACTAACAAAAGAGTAACTTACTTTTTCTCTTTTGGCAAATTCCCTTCTCTCAGAAACATTCCCTTTTTTTTAAACAACAACAACAACAACAACAACAAAAAAAAAGATGGGGTTTCACCATACTGGTCAGGCTGGTCTTGAACTCCTGACCTCAGGTGATCTGCCCGCCTCAGCCTCCCAAAGTGCTGGGATTACAGGCGTGAGCCACCATGCCCAGCAACATTCCCATTTTTAAACTACTAAAGATAACTGGAATTTCCTCATCAGTGGCAAAGGTAGACAGCAATTTACGCAAGAGTAAATTTCTATCACAATAATTAAAAATAGGAGAATCTTTGGCTATGTGTAGTGCATACTATAATTACATCATTATGGTTTTATTGAAAGCACAACAGATTTTGTATCATCTGCCATATCATTGATTACTTACTGCTCTATGGATTGAAACATTGTCATTTTTTTATTGCAGTATTTTCAGTCAGTCCTACATTTGTATTATTTATAATTTAACAATTAACAGTATTTTCTAGACTGGTATGATTACATGTCATTGCTTTTATTGCAAACTTGATAATACTTCTAAAAGCTTATCTTGATAACTAGTCATATGTGAGAAATAGTTTTTTATTTCTTTTTATTAGTCTTGCTCTTGATAGCAGCCAATTTACTAAGTCTTTGGAATTAGGAAGTAATTTATCTCTATCATTTTTGTTTATGGGACTAACACTGACAGCACTGGTAAATTTTGTGCTTCATCTTTCGTTTCCCTATGTATAAAGTCAATGTTTTAAGATTTTTATTGTTGTAGATTATTAAAAAGAGAGATGTACTGTTCTTAACTGCTGACAAAGCACCTAAAAATGTTTTTTAGGCACCAAGTGATACATTAAAATTTACATAACGGATATAAACATGTAATTACATTTACAGGTAAAAATATGCTTACATTTACAAACAGAAATATATAACTTAAGTGTCTATCAAAAAACGCAATACGAAAAATCACAATAATTGAAAAAAGAAAAAGGAGGAAAAAAAGACATATAATTATTTCTCAATTTTTTGTTAGGCAATGAAAGTTTAAGGTCTCTAAATTGAAAAATAAACTTGAAAAATATTCCATCTCTATATTTAATTTGTAAAAGTGAACCCCAAACTGGCATTGTTTAATTGAAAGCACTGTATACAGAAACATCACTATTCTACAACTTCTAGAACATCCACATTCCACAAAATGAACAGCTTAAAAAAAAATCCCATCTTAAAAAAAAAATGGCAAAAAAAAAAAATTAAAAAAAAAAAAAAAAAAAGGAGAGAAGACACCATCACACAGGATCGCTGACTACTGCAGTCACTATGTACCTATTTTTCTGGGTATTGTTTAATTGAAAACGTCACTATTTTAGAATCTGAAGGGAATTTACCTAGAACAGACAATAGAAAGCATTCCAACTATGAAATATGACAAATGGCCTATGTTTAAAAGATGCTGGAAAGTATCCAAGACTGCTTGCTTAGAAATTTATAAAGGAGATGAAATGATGTTAAGAATGTGATGTTATCTGTGCTTATATATCTGTTAGAAACTAAATGATACCTATTTCTTTTTGAAAAGTGAACTGTCCTCCAGTCTTGAGTGTATTACGATTTAAAAAGGCTTCTTTTTCTAAGAGTTAAGTTGAAGAAGGGCTGTGCTGGCTTCCAAGGGACTAATTAAGGAATCCAAGCCTGGACTATATAGGATTCTTTAGGGATTTGCAAATGTTTCCATTCTAATTTTCCAGAGACAAAAATGTAACCAGGAGAAAATTAGAAAAAGAAAGTGACCTGTGGCATTTTGGCAACTTCTTTGCAAACTGGCTTCTTATTAACGGTTTTCAATGTTTAACTGATCTCCTACCTAAAAATTCTCACCTTACTGAGTTCAACGGCTAATCATCTATGATCATAAGGCCATCGCCCAACACATACACATTATTTGAGTCACTGGGTGAGATAATGTAATGAAAGCATCTGAAGAACTAGTTTCATTTAAATAGAGCCATGTCCTCAACATCATTAAGAACAGAAAGTCTTGCAGGTGAGTTTTTCTTTAGAGACGCAGAATTAGCTCAAGGAATGGATGGAAATGATGTTTTTTGGTAACTGATTATAGAATCTCAAATACTTTTATGGAAATAAGTATCTCGTGCATTTTATATGCCCTTGATCTTGTTTTTCCAGAGGCATAATATTAATTTCAGTTAACTTGTTAGAATTATTCTTTTAGAATTTTTAAGTGTCTCAAAAGTTAAATGAATTGGGGAAAAAATGTTCCTTTGTATAAGAAAGAGGTATGAATGTGTATATACAAAAGGAAGGAAAAAGGAGAAAAACAAATCGTCATTTTGATATTTGCAATAAATATGTGAGGTTTAGTTTGGGAGGTGATGGGGCACTCCAGGGCGAGAAATGATGTCTTGAATAATTAAGATGCCTGCTCCTGACTTTCAACCAAACAGACTGCCTTCCTGTCCACCCTGAAGATATCACTGGGGTGTTGCTATCCATTGCATTCACTTCTGCAAACTTCCCTGACAGAAGAAAGGGGGACTTCCAGCTGGACACTGCTCTCTGGCTCTCTGGAGTGGGTTCTTTACACTGTGCTTCTCTACAGTATGGACCACAGATGAGCTGCTGTCATCCTTCTCAGGGAGAGCCTGCTAAAGTTGCAGGGTCCTGGCCCCTACCCAAAACCTCTGACTTTGAAACCATGTCAGAAATGCTTTAATTTACGTACTTACTTGTTTATCTGTTTTGTTCACTGCTATATCTTCAGCTCCTAGAAAAGTACCAGGAACATGGCAGATGCTCAATAAATATGTACTGAATAAATGAAAATTTTAAAAAGGGAAGGGAAAAGGACTGCCTTCATGTTTCTCTAACCTCTTCAAGTTTTAACAGCTAAATGTTAAGCTCTTTACAAAGTCTCAAGTGTAATCTAATGAAATTAAAAACAATTTCTAACAAATCATTTCTCAAGTAGAGAGAAAACTCTCAATTTATAAAATCGTAAGATTAATAAACCTGTATAATGATGGTAGTAAAAAAGAGAATTACTTATTTGTTAATTCCTTTGAAGAAAAAGGGCTCAAAATTGTGATTCTCAGACTTGGAGATGACAGAGCCAGGCAATAAAATACCTCCCTAAATAACTTACCAAGACAATGGCATTATTCTTACTTTAAACTATTAATTAACATCAAATCTCAACGTGTAGAGGGTTAGGGGAGGTTAGAAAGTTACCATACTAGGATAAGCAGGAAAAAAAAAAATCAGAAATAAACCAGAACATGACACCAAACAGTAACTTTTTATAACAATGATTGGGAGACTCAGAGTTAATACTTACAAGGTAAGAATTGCTGACTAAGTAGAGGTCTCTTTTATTATGGTCTTCATTCTATCATTATTAAACCTAGGAAAAAGAGGGAAGATTTTAAAAATGTGATCACATTAGGTAAGTTAGAACATTTCAACTGAGATTGCCACCACTGTATTCTGATCCTTATGAAGCACAGAACAATCATAGATTATAAACACTCAGCAGCATTTCTGTTTCAGCTCAGTGCAGCATTCTTGTTATTTTGTTGCTGTTGTTAAGAGATGGGGTCTTGCTCTATTATCCAGGCTGGAGTGCAATGGCGTGATCACAACTCACTGCAGCCCAAACTCTTAGGCTCAAGCTATCCTACTGCCTCACCCTCCCAAGTAGCTGGAATTACAGGCCTGCATATCATTACATCCTGCTTGTCACTGGATTTTAAAATTTGCTTTTCTATTACTATTGCCCTTTTGAAGTTTAAGCTAAAAATTTAAATGTAGCTAAAACTCTAACTTGGACTCCAATGAGCTTCTAAAGAATACCATATAATTGCAGTTATTTTAAGATAAATTCAAGATCGTATCCCAAGACTGATTAATCTTTCTCACACACATACAATTGCATAATCTATAATCCATGTATTGTATATTACACAATTCCAAGTACACAAAGTCAGGAACATATGACATATTTTTAGATATGCTAGCAATTTGAGTTCGTTAGAATGTTTGGTTTCTATGGGTCATGATTCTCAGTTGTAGTTCTTACATCAACAACAGTTAAGCATTTACTACAAGACATAGAATAGAAAGAATCGATAAATGCATCCATGTTCTTAATGGAGCACTAGAAGTATACATTTTATTGTAGACTAATCTTTATAAAAAAGAACAGCATGTTTTTAAAAATTTCAAAATCATTTGCTTCAAAATCCATAGAAAAATCAAAAGAATACCAAAATGAACCTCTACATCCTATCTATGGACCCCCAATCCAGCTCTAATAAAATCTAATAATATGCCATGCTTACTTTGTCTTTTATGAAAATTGATTACATATACAGATGATGTTCCTGTGAGCTATACCCTGATTCCATTCCACTTTCCAAAGATGCAATCACAATCTTGAATTTGATATTTATTTCCTATGTTTTTACAGTATTATTACCAATTCAAGAATTTAAACTTTATCATTGTTTTTAAGCTTTAGATAAATGGTATAATATACATATTTCACATGTTATTCTGTATGTAACCTTTATGCAACTCATTTTTGTTTGCTGAAGTAGGGTATGCACTCATGATGATAAACACAGCTCTCATTTAATAGCTATACAGTTCATCACATGACTATGTCACAACTTGCCATTCTCTTGTTACTTAACATTTACATTTTTTTCCTATTAAAAATAACGAAGACTATTTTCTACATCTGAGTTTATCTAGAGCATCTAGGAATTAAATTGTTGGGTTCAAGCCTATTGTATCTTCAACTTTACAAGGATATTGCTAAATGTTTCCACAAGCAGCATAGGAAAAGTTCCCCATTTTATGTTTCCTCCAACATTTGGAAGTATATTTTTAAAAAACAACTACTATCTATATGAAAATTTAAAAATTCATAAGCGATCAATTCCTTTTGTTTTTAATCAAGTATTGGTTTCACATAAGCATACTAAATGATCCAAAGAGAATAGACTGAAATTTGGCCCAAGGTACTTACATGAAAATAAAACTTTGATAACACTGATTTTCCTCGTATGATTGAGGAAATACCAAGACTTAATCTATTTTTTTAATCAGCTGAATTTAAGATTCAAGAACTTAATCTAGAACTATTGTAATAGAAATGATAAGATTCCTAATTAAATATTGAGCTTAAATCCAAGATGACCAAAGAGGGAAAAAAGGATGCAGGAAAAAAAGACAGTTCGTTGGTATGAACAATCCTTCCCCCAAGTTCATTTTGGGAAGTGCTTCTCACACATGTGGTGCTCCTAAGAAAAATGTCGTGGAGCTTGTAAAAAGTGCAAGTTCCAGGTCTGGAAAAATGTTTTTATTTTTTAAATTCTAGGTTATTCTCATACAGGAGGTTCGCAGGCACTAAGCAGTAAGAAATGATTAAAAATGATGTGTTTTCAACAGAAAGGATTACATAACTCATGTTATAGTTAGGAGAGGTAACAGTAATTAATATATTATCTGTTAAATTACATAAACATATTTTTTAAAAAACCTCTAGCATTAGTCAACATCAACAAAAGTAACCTCAATTTATGGCTGAAAATGCTTGATTTCACAATGCCAGAAAAGATTGTGGGCTCATTTATTTTTTCAGATAACTAAGCACATACTATGACAAAGCTTTTAAAAACAGTATTACCAGGGAACTAATATTCTGAATTTACTATGACTGGCACAGGAAAATATTTAGAGTGATCAGGAGTGATTTTAATGAAGATTAGCAGAAAGCAACTATAATTATCTTTTAAATAGAATGCTATTGCAAATGTCAAACTTGCAATTTGGCTTTATACACCAAAAAAGAAAAAAAGTCATTAGTTTCCCACCAAGAATTCTACAAATAAATTCAGAACATTTGCAGAAATTCAATAGTTAGACTTCCCTGTATCTCTAACCTATTGAAATTAGATGTAAAAGGAAGAAAAAAATGAGTATTTAGGTCATACAAATCTGTGCAAATTTAAATGATAAAAATAAAAACATTCTTTTATATTATTTGAAATTACAAAGTCCTGTTTCCAAAATATTTAGAATAATCTGAGCTTTCAGATAAAAGGTATTTCAATGAGAAATGTTATATAGAAAAAGTAAATAGTAGTAAGAAAAAACAGACATAAGTTTTCATCTGTGGCTTGCTTTTAGACAACACCAAGTTAACATAGAATGTTGTTTTCTTCTATTATAGTGCAATTAAGAATTTAGCCTTGTTAGACTGGGCTTTTATAAAACAAAGATAATATGGTCCAAAAGTGAAGAAACACTACTGTGTGGCGACAGCCAACTTTTCTTTCTATCCTCAACATATTATCTAACTTGATATCAGCAACTAATTATTAATAATTTTTTTCAGTCTACCAGCTTAAAAGTGAAACCATGAAACATACCATATATACATGAAACATAAAATATATACCTCCAAAAGCAAGACAGTTTTCCATTCTAACAGATGGAATTAACTGAATAAAAATTAAATGAACTAAAGCCATAGAGCAAATAGTTAAAAAATAATAGAGTCTAAGAACTACAAGCAACTACTGTTCTCTTTATGCTGCAAACCTTTCTGCCAAAGAATGTATTCTCTATACTGTGTATGTGGTACAGTGACAGTGGGGATCTTCCCACCTGGGTTTGTAAAAACGAATGGGTGCAGGCTCCTTTGGCCACCATTATTGCATATTGATGCTATTCTGCACAACAGCTGACAAACAGCATCGATCTCCCAGCCTCTGCTCCCAGCTGTAAGGGGTAAGAACAAGGGCTGTGGTGATAACTTGTTTATTTGCTGCTGCTGCTGCTGCTGCTTAAAACAGTAAGCTGAGAAAAGAATATGCAACTGACACACAAAGGAAAAATGGTTCAGAGATCTACCTACCTACCAGGTCTGCTATCACTACATGGTAAAATTAATTTTAAAAGAATTTCTTAAAAAAAAGTGGCGTGGAGAGAGAAAAAAAGACAAAACTGGTGTTTTGATTAGAAAGGGAACCTAAAATATAGGCAAGGAAAAATTAATGATATATACAATAATCTTTAGCTTGTAGTTTAGATTTAACTGCTTAATTATCAAAATTCTCTGAAGAGTTTTAACCAATGTTGGGGTAAATTTATAAAGAGGGTATCTTCTCTACCCATTCTTCTGGAAAGTAAGAAAGTGTCAAACTCCAATCAAGAAATGACACTTTATTTTGCTTACAAAATGCCTCCGGCTCCCAAGTACCCAAAATCTAATTACAGTATGTTTGACTTTAGACATTATTAGCAAAGAAACAAGATTTTAGTTCATAATGGTTTTTCATAAATCCCATTAAAAACACTTCCACATGCAATTTACCTGTTTTAAATATGCAATACAAAGTTAAAAACTTAGTAAGTATATAGTATTAATTGATTAGTAACAAATAGAACTATTCATTGTTCAATTACCTTTAAATGTAATGTGATGCTATTTATAGACTTACAGCTTTAAATCTAAATGCAACTCATTTTTTAGAGCCTTAAGCAATTTGTGATTCAGAAAAATATAAAAAGTCAAAAAAAATTGGACATCTATAAACTATTAAAAAGAAAAACCCACATAAGTGAAAACTGGCTGGTAAACTTTAATAATAATACCTAATCAAGAGGGCTAAGTTTGAGATATTTTAAAATAAAAGTATAAAACAGTAGTAGTATTTTTAATTTAGATCATATTTTCTACAAAATCAAAACCAAACCCCAATCTTCTATTTTTCATCAAAATTGAAAAAGTAATTTTTATGCTTAGCAGCTCCGTGAGGAATAATGTTAATAATAATGAAATAATTTTGAAGATCAGAGGATAACAAGATACTTTAAATATATTTGTTTAATATGAAAGCGATAAAAAAGACTAACAGCAAATCCTAAAGAAAGATTTTTAAAAATTCAGACACTTGGAAAAAGAAGTGGATTAATAAAGTACTAACCAGTGGGATTAATCAGTCTCAGCAGCCACATGTGAAACATGCTTCATGTTTCTCTTCCAAAACTCTAACCATGAAAATAGGAAAGTAAAACTAAGTCAAATAATATATGTTAATGAAGTATCAAAACCGTGGTTTGTGGTGCTGTGAATAGAAATTTCACTTCAAAACATATTTAATATAAATTTAGAACCCTCTGAAAAATGCTTTGAAAAATGCTTACCCTTTGAAAAATGCTTATCAGAAAATATAATTCTAATACATTAGGTCTTATTTGAAGAAAGACAACTGAAATAGGTTAAGGATGTTATTTGCTAGTTTAAGAAAAAACACATAAAATACACACATATACAAAATTGCTTCAAATAAATATTTTAAAACTTTTATTTAAAAAGTTAACTGTATCTATTATTTAACAAATACTCAGCAATATATAAAACCTCTATTAAAGAAAATTGTCATAGCTGACAAACTGCCTAAAATGTAACATACATATCCTTATAAACTAGCATTACACATCTCTGACAAATAATAATTTTAACTTCCTTCATATATAGATATGTTATCTGTATTCTGGTTTATTCAAATATTCTTTCTATCCTTAAAAAAAACTATTTCAGTAAGACAGGAACAATGATGATATAACTGGATTTTAGGGACACCTAAGAATTTTTCCCAAAAGTGAATGTTATTTAACCCTGATTATGCATTTAGCCAAAAACATAAATACTGAACAAATTAGATACAAATCACTGAAAGAAAGATAAAAACTAACACAATAAATCTCTTCCCCCAAATTCTGACATGATTAACCACATATCAAGGTTTAGATTTAGATAATCAGGTCTGCAAATTTAAAACAATCAAAATCTTTACAAAATGTCTTTTAACTGCCCCCTTCAAGGGGTAGTTAAAAAAGAGCCAATCATACATAGCAGTTGAAGCTTTTGTTAATTGGCCTCCTAAAATAATACATACTCCTAATTAGGTTAAAGTTTCTCACCTTGTAAGAATTGACCAAATACAAGTTAACTGTTAATATTTGTATTGATTCTTTTAGATACCAAATTATTTACTAAGCTACATTATTAGAAGTTTATAACCCAGTACATAACTATAGGGAGAACAACTATATGATGCTAAATATAAATAAGTTTTGCTATCTTTAAAGATCACAAATCATAAACTCTCTAAATTAGGAACAACTCTGTGGATTTATATCTTATCTACAATATAAAATCAAGTGCTGCCTCTCTTTTCCCATTTAACTCATTAAGGCTGCTTCTAAAGATACCTGCAATGAAAGTGATAAATTGAACCCGGATTTTTTTCCCAGACACTAAGGTAACCATATTTTCCACTTTTCATCTTAATATTCTCTAACCTGAGAAATACTTGAAAAAAAAAACCTGTTATTTATTTTCATCCTATTCAAACTAAGCTGCTTTTTCACAAAAATCTCAAACATATGAAGACATTCTATACCTTATATTTATTTCAACCACCTTACAGTATGACACCGATATAAAAGTAAACTTCATCCTTATATTAAACTCTGATTTCTAAACATCTTTCCATTTTATTTAACGTCAACTGTTAATAGATTCATTCTTGGATTATCTACTTAATATACAACAATATAGAAATATCAAATTTCAGTTTTTAGTATTTTGCTGTGTATTTCAACACTGACTCTTAAACACATCTCGGAATTCATCTTTAAAAATTTTACATTGTTGGAAGTTAAAAGCAGTTCTATGATCATGACAATATACTTCATTCTTAAGACTAAATAATTTCATCATAAAAACAAACCTTTGACATTTCCTCGAAGTATACAAATATTTTTTAGGTAAAAAAAAAAAAAAAAAATTGTACTGTTACTAAACCTTACTTTAGCAAACAGTTTCTAAATAAATGTACACAAATATATGTATACATAAGATTAATACTTTACTATGAAAGAATTAACCAAATAATACTTAGTAATACTGTTCAATAAGTTCATTTTCACTATACCAGATTACCATTTAGAAAACAAAAGTTGTATTAGTTAAACACTATCTGAAATTTTCAACTAAAACTATAAAAATCACTGAAGGTTTAGGGATTCTACAATTTCATTTTTAGAGTCTGCAACTTTTGATATTAACAAAATATTTTACTCAGCGTATCTAAGTAAGATACTAGTAATTTCTGCTTAAGAAAGTGGGTTTTTCAGTTTCAACCACAGTGCCACTTTTGGTTAGGATAGTACTTGGAATACATTAAATTTGCTTAAAATATTCTCATCAATCTGACCTAATTTCATAGGCTCTATCTAATACTCTACCACCTGTCAAAGAGCCAAGCACCAAGTTCCATTTGATGTAAACTCTCCATTTTACAAGATGAAAAGTTCATAATTTTACTGAGTACACTGCAGTAACAACCTTAAGAAAATAAAAACTACTATATATACTTATTTTTGGAATAAATAAATTCAGCTGGAGTTGGATCTTAGGATGATGAGAAGATCAACTGTATAAAAAAAATCTGGAGTTTTAATAAGCAAGACAGCTCAGCTATGGCCACTTCACATGATGAATTCTGTTTATTAGTAATTATTTGATTTTAGTTCACGTAGGTTTCAGCTTTACATATTGTCTAGTCTGATTATATTGCAAAGACATAAAATTATATGGCTTTAAAATTCATTAGTATACCTTAATCTTGTGTCATGTTCCAATGTATTACGTGAGTATTCAATCAAAGAAGTGAGGTTGTTCTCCAGAATTGGTTCTCTCCTACAGGTCAAAACCTGTAATAAAAATGTCATGTATTTTAGCATGAAGACACTCAACAGATTTCCATCTCCTGCAGTTCCACAGTTGATCCCTGAACACAGAGGTATGGTCTTCAAAATGACCCCAATCTTGCCTATGTTCAGAGGAATTCTAACTTGAAAATGTTTTTAAAACAGAAATAACTTGATTAGAAACACCTGTGATATGTTTTATCATCTCAAGCCTCTTCAAACAAATCAGATTAATACGTTTCTGCTTTCATTTCTCTTTAGGGCATTCATGTTCAAAGTAGTATGGATGAGTGTGTATGCGGGTAGCTGTTAGAGGACTGGTACAAGACAAGTTCATAAGGAGAATTATCAGAAATATAATTTGTACTTTTAAAATTCACACAGTTTAAAAAGTTACTGAAGGGACAGGGACAAAATTTAACTTTCTCTCCAAAGGTTTTAATGATAGAATTTACCATTATTATTTTCTTTCTTTCTTTTTTTTGTTTTTGAGACAAAGTTTTGCTCTCATCGCCCAGGCTGGAGCATGGTGGCATGTTCTTGGCTCACCGCAACCTCTGCCTCCAGGGTTCAAGTGATTCTCCTGCCTCAGCCTCCAGAGGAGCTGGGATTACAGGCACCCGCCACCATGCCCAGCTATGAATTTATCAATATTTTCAACTTTAGTATATTGCCAAGCCTAAGTGAAAAAATATCTACATTTCCAAACATTTTAATACATTACAATCCTGACAGATCAAAATGTGGAGCTTATTTTTTTTTTAACAAGTTAACATATTTACAAATAATAAACGGACCACTACTGGACCAAATGGTTTTTTAATGTTTCTAAGTAGTGGTGAGATGTAACTGAATATATATGTTTTTTTTTTTTTGTTTTTCATTTGCTTCACCTTTCTGATTTATAATGATTCAATGGCAATCAATTATATAAAAGTATTAAATTACCAAAGGTGTATCATGTACTATACGTAAATCATAATGCTCTGAATAAATTTTCCACTTTTATTTAATAGCTTAGGAGAATGAGAGAATAAAAACTAAAAAAACCCTTTATTCCTCTGTTGCCAAATATTTGATTGTATAAGGACAAAACTCACACAATCATCCATAACTCATAAACACCAATGCAAATACCGTGACATTTTAAAAAATTACAATCATTTATACAGAGACTTCCTCAAAATAGACAGTTTTCTATATTTGAGCACTCTGAAAATTAAGGTATCTTAAGTTTAAAAATCATAGAAGGAAATAGTAGAAAACAAAATGTACTACATGTCAAATGTTAAGTTTTTAAATAGTAGGGAGATGAAAATAACAAGCAATAAGAAGCAAAAGAGGTTTGGACATAAAATAATAAACCAATGTGTATGATAAAAAAAGACAGTATTAAAAAAACCTCCAAATAGTAAAACTCAAATCTAAAATGTTACAAAATACAGCTTACTATTTATTCTTAGAAACCACTACAAGTTATTCCAGTACAAATTTTCTTTAGTGAAATAAGGCAGAAATAAACCAAAGTATAATAAACTTTTTATACTTTGATAAGAAATATTAATAAAATTCAAATATATATTTAATATCAATTCCAATATTTAAAACTTGTCTTTCTAAAAGGTAGAGCCTTTAAAGCATCTCTAATACAGACAAAAACAAAAACAAAAAATCAACCCAGGCAAAAAATAAATAAATAAATAAATAAATAAATAAAATTCAGTTCCCTACCAGAAAATAATATTTATATGAAGGATCTACAATTATTTGTAGTTGCAAATAATGAGATAAACAAACACATAAACAGTAATGTGATATTCTAAAAATCAATCTTGTTACTCTTAAGACAATCACGACAAAGTTCTAATACTGTGACTTCTAAAAATTGAATGCTTAATCTCATTTTCAACGCTTATTTGAAATAAAGAGGTATTTTATTACTGATTTCCTTTGGTCTTATGAGATTTGGGGCTACAAAATTTCAGCAAGTCATAGTTTGAGTTTGAGCTCTAATTATGTGCCAAAATTAGTTTCCTGGCATACAGTGTTTCAAAGTTTGCTGAATTAAAAACAAAACCAAACCAAAAACCCCCACAAAACTGTAAGTATGACTTTTTTTCTTAAATCTGTGTTTTCTAGTTATTAGACCAAAAATCTGTATCTTCTAAAAAGAGGTTAAAAGGAAATTAATATGTGAATTTTTAAGCTGCATTAGACAAAAGAAAGAAAAGAGCCAATTTTAGGCAATATTTTAAAAGAAGAAAAATTTTTATAGAATAATTTTTCAAAACTATAAATTTACCATCTTCTTTTGAAGAAAACTAATGTGTCATATATAAGAATTACCTAATACAGTCTCTGGGAATTTTTTTTTTCATTTTGTAAACCAAATCAACTGACCCATATTTCTGGCTTTAAGTATTCCATGACATTCTAAATAGTTACTGCCTACCAATAAACAAAAATATACACGAGTCTCCACAAAACAAAAAAACCAAAAATGTAGTACATAAAGCATGATGAAACTAGGGATCCAGAATATGAAAGCTCCTTTAAATTTTTTAGTCTTAGCTATAGTTGTTGCTAAACATTAAAACTGATATTAATCTGATTGGAAAAAATATGCAGTGTTACAAACACCCAAGGCTACATTTTGTAAATGTATACAAATAAGTTAATAGCATTTTTTAAAAGTCTGAAATTACATTTTTACTTTAATATTTAAAAATAGTGTGGGGGCAAACAAATGAAAATCAATGCTACCAGGAAGACTGATAACTCGACTGCACTTTTATTTGAATTTTTAAAAATAGCGTTGGGGCAAACAAATGAAAATCAATGATACTAGGAAGACTGATACCTTCTCTAGTCCCCTTTTCCCCACGATATGTAAACAAGGCTTTAAAAAGAGGTGACCTATTGTAGCAACACTACACCCCGCAGTTGCTTTCCTATGGTAAGAAATGACTTTACTAATCCTTGTAATACAAAATAAATTACAACTGTCAATTTCTACAGAGAAATATGGATAAGTGCACATAAACATTAAAAAATACACATTGGTTGGAACTTGTATCTATATGCACACGAGTCTAAAACCAGTATCTTCTTCTTAGGAAGCGTCACATAAAAGTGAAAATATTTTGAATGTTGTGGATTTTATCTAGGTGCTAGTGTGTTCTCAAGTTTGAAGTGATGTATTTTAAATAAAGGAATCACTCCTTTTAAAAATGACTTATTAAACAAAACAATCCTTTACTCATCACTCCCTAAACAAAAAATCCTATAAACCGAAGGGCTAAAAATATATGGTTAAATTTAAAGCTTGCCCCAACTCTCCCCCAAACTCATATAATTTGAATGAAAATGCAAAACTCAAAACAAAAACTTTCAGTAAAAAGCAAAACCCACTAGTTCAGGTACTTTAGGTTTAATTACATTTAAAATAGAAATGAAATCTCCTACAATTTCATTAAATCAAATTTTATTGAGAAGATAATTGGCACCTTTTATGAAATTTTCATGAGATGGCCCAAAATAGCTTTGAACAAAGGTAATGAAAATGGGTTCTGTTATCACAATTCTTGTTATGATGACAACACAAAATAGCATGAATTATAAACTCAGCTATTCCACTTACTAATATAAATTATATTTACAGCCCTACAGAGATTTATAAAAGCTGTAAGGTTTTTTATTTGAATATTTTGTAACAATGCATATAGGACTTAATGTGAACATACATTATAAGCTTCAAAATCTCAACTACTTTTCATAAAAAAATATAAACTTCTATTAAATTAAAATAATTCTTTCTTAAAGTGTCTACAGCTGTTTATCAGTGAGTTTATCACTTTTCTTTGAAAATCACACCTGCCTTTTATCAAGATGCAATTAAATGGAATGACAAGCTTGGTAATAAATAGAAATATACTGACGGCTGTCCCAAGCAACACTGAACAAAAATCAACTGAAAATTAACCAGATAAAAAACAGCACACCCACACTGTTGTATACAACATATTTCTTCAGTGAATTTATTATTAAAGGAGCGAAATAATATATACGCACCTGCGCTTACCTGTTGTCTAAGAAACATAAATGTCTTGCAAATTAAAGTTTTAGTTCACTGCAGTTACTGACTTAGCAAAATCTGTACATTTTCATTCGATGTGAAATATTTTTTTAATAAAATGTTCAGTTTTTGTGGAAAATGTGAAAAAGATCATTCATGAACATTAAGAAAATTGAAGTTTCTTTCCATCAAAATAAAAGAAACAACTGTCCCGTAATGTGCATCCAACAAATACATGCAGTTTAAGGTGAAAAACTCCTATCAAAGGAAAAAAACTAAATTTTTCACTCCGTTTTTAACCAATAAAGAACAGTGTCAAATACATAAAAGTCTTGTAATTTCAACCAACAGAGACTTAATTTTGCGTAAACAGCCTCTTCAGTTTTACTTTTAATATGCATTTCAGAACCATACGAAAGTCCTTTCTGGGAGAAAAACAAAAGTATTAAAAACCAACTTTTTCCCTAAACTCTCGTCCTAACGTTTCATAGCCATTTCTGTGGTTCTCTGGCTAAAAGTACAATTTTAAGGAAAGTCGAGAATTATAATCTAGCGTTCAACATTCAAAACCCCCCAGGCCCGCTTCCTTCCAGCCAATCAGGAGGTAACAAGTCCAGTGTTTTGGGAGCTCCGTTAGACACAATTTGAAAAACATCACATTGCACTCTTCTATTCTCCTCCGGGAAACATTCTAAGCGAGGGCGGGTCCCCCAGTCTTCATAGAAATATAAGATATAAATCACTCGTTATATCAATTCCAGGGGGAAAAACTGTAGTGTTAAAGAAGCGTGTCACTGCAGTTCGCAGGAAGCCTTATTCCTCTTTGCGAACAATTGAACACAGTAGCTGCTGCAAAAAGCATCTCCGGAATATTTGCAACCCAGAGCCGTGCACCCCACACGCAGTACACCGGCAAAGGGTTAATCTAGTGGCGCCTCCAGCGCGGAAAAGAACTCAATATCTAATACATCCTTAACGCGGGATTTTTACAAAGGCCATAAAAGTATTACCTAAAGTTAATACCATCACTGGCTCACATCATTCAAGAACTGCAGAGTAGGAATTGATAGAAACCACCAGCTAAGGGGGAGAAAAAAATCACCAAAGGGAAAGATAAATAACTCTTCCCTCCTCCTCAGCGTCAAGAGTTCCCAAGAAAAGGTGGGGATCGCGAAATTACCGTTAAGTCGTCCGGGTAAAGAGTTTTGTGGGAGGAAAATATTAATAGTTTCGTAGATTGCTTTTCTTCCTTGCGACATGTTTCAAACACCGGAGGAAAAAAAGTCTTCTAAGAAAAGTGCGAAGAGAAGGAAATAGCCAGGACAAGGAAATCGCTAGCTCGAAGCCCCATCTTTCATCTCACCCGTGAACACCCCTCCCCCTTGAGAAAGGACTACGCTGCGAGTGAAATGACAAAAGTCCTCAGAAAGCTGCTAAAGTCCAGCATCCTTCCTGAGAGCCGGCTACAGCCTCGAAAGCCTGCCCCTGCCCCATATTGGAAGCGCGAGCCGCGGCCAGTCCCACATACCTAGAGACCTCACGGGAACCCGGCGCGCCGGGGGAGGGCGGCCAGGGCTTGGGAAACTCTCATTCTTGGGGCACCTCACGCTTCAGCGTCAAAAGAAAATATAGATACATGGGTACCGGGCGGTGTCGGACGGAACTGTCGCCGCCACCGACCGGAGGGACCCATGACTCCGGGTCCTGAATTTTGCCGATCTTAAGTTTCTTGTCAAGAAATGACGGCCATCTCCGGGTCGGGAAAACGGCGAGAAAAGGCGGCCCGGTTCGGAAAAGGGGGAGGGGAGCGTGTCCAGTCCTCCTGTCAAGGAGCGGCTGCCTGCGGAGACACCGCCGCGCATCCTCCGGGCTCCAGCCCAGGGCTTGGGGGTCTTGCTGACAGATCTGCTGGGCGGCGGCAGCTCAGCCGCAGCCGGTCCGCGTCCCGCTCAAACTGCAGTTCCCCTCCCCCCACAGCCCCGTCTCTCTGCGCTCCCGCCACATTCCGCCCGCTGCCGCCCACTCGCAGATGCCCAAGTTGCCCCTAACCCTATTTCCTCAGATTTTTGGCAATGGAGAGCCGACCCAGCGCCCACTCCCTGCACCCCCTGACTACCTGCGGGTCCCACCACTGCCACCTCCCGAGTCCTCCTCTGCTACTTCTTCAGGCTCTTACCGACTGCGCCAATCTTGGCGAAGCTCCGCCGACTGCCGTTTGCTCCAAGTAATTTTTGGCGATTTTTAAAGTAATTTTTCCGGCGGAATCCTAGTGGCGCTATACTCTCGGACAGGTTAGCTTGTCTCTCCCGCTAGATTGATGAGATCAGGCATCACTCGAAAATGGCGCCGAAAGCGCTGAAGCTCCTCATTCAAATTCGTTAGAGCCAACCCCGCCGCCCCAGGGCATGCCGGGAACGCGGGCTGCCTCCACAGCTGTCAATACCGCCTCTTAACCCCTCTTCTCCCGCTTTCCCGACATTTTTGCGCAAGCGCAAACTCCAACCCTCGCCTCCTCCCGCCTGGCACATGCGCAGAATCATCGTTGTGCGCGGCTCTCCCTACGCCTCCTCGGTCGCAGTCCTCCTGCTGCTTTTCTTGCGCGTGCGTGTAGCGCTTTTGCAAAGCCGTGGAGGTGGAGCGAGCGAAGAGGCTGTGGGGCTGAGGGTCCACAGATAGCTATCAGTCCCCAGGCATTTAGTGTACGTTGGAGGTAAACAAATACGGGTCCAGCTTAGGGAAAAAGAAAAACATCTTACAGCCAGTTTCTAAACTTCAAACAACGGAATGTGTCAATGAGACCTTGTGTATGGATACACGTGCATTTAAAACGGCCCCGCCAGCGTGTAGCTCTTGCCGTTCGCCAGCGCTTTACAGGTGTTATCGCACTTAGGCCTCGGAACAACTTTACCAGGTAGGAACTATTCTCGTTTTAAAGACAAGGAAGCCTAGGCTCAGAGACGTTAAGTAATTTGCCGAAGACAGCACAGGTAGCACGGAAGTGGATGAGTCCACATCTGTCAGATTCAGCAGCCCTGAGGTTCTCTACCACGCTGTACGATCCAACCTGAGCCCACACAGGAGGCGTGGTCTCCCGCCTTAACAGCCTTGGGGTGTGAGGGTGTGTGTGTGTGTGTACGCGCGCGCGCGCCACTGCCTAAAGTTAATGATTAAGTTTGCTGAAGCCCTTCTTCCCTGTCCTAAGCTGCCTGTTGCGAAGGCGCATTCATTGAATCCAGTTTCTTACCGACTTACTTGTCCTTAAACTTTCCGGGATAGGAATGGGCAGTTTTTGTGTGTCACTTAGGGTGATTTTTTTTTTTTTTTTTTTTAATGGCGTGTTAAGTGAACTGAATCCAGCAAAGACGAGTTTCTGTTGCGCTACGCATTGGTAAACTGACAGCTACCACGTATTGACTTGTGTACTATGTGCTGGGCACTGTGCTAAATAAATGATTTACGGATTAATCCTGTTTATTGCTCACAACAGCCTTATGAAGTAGTTATTATCTTCACTTTACAGATGAGATCATCTGAGGCTCAGATTAAGAAATCTTAAGTCTCATAACTGGTAAGTAGAAGCACAATATCTAGGCAAACCTGTCTACCTTCAAACAAATGGGCACTGTGATAGTTAATAATAAAGTTGTAAATATTTTAAAGCCTTCATTGTGAATGTTAAATAAGACTGTAGATATGAAAGTGCCTTAAGTACTAATAAGTAAGGAAGTGGGAGAAGTGCATTATTGAGGTGCATTGGAAAAGAAATGGATTTTAGCAATTTGAGATCGGCAAGAAGTGACGTGGCAGAGTAGTATGAATACACTACCTAATCTCATGGTACTTTTGTGCACCACTTCAAGTGGGCCGACTCTGGAACCGAACTGCCTGGGTTTGAATCCCAGCTCCACTACTTACTAGCTGTGTGGCCTTATTGGGTAAATTATCTGTTGGACCTTTTGTAAAACAAGTACTATTAATACCTCATTGGGTTGTTGTTTAAGTATGTAAATGAGATAACATATTAAAGTAATTTCAGCAGTGCTTGGCATATTAGTAAATGTTTGTTATTGTGAGTCAGTCATTAACACTGATCTTTTAAACTGGTTTCTTTAATAGTTGTTTTAAAAATCAAACTACAGACCTGGTGCCGTGGCTCACGCCTATAATTCCAGCACTTTGGGAGTCCCAGGTGGGCGGATCATGGGTCAGGAGTTTGAGACCAGCCTGACCAACATGGTGAAACTTCGTCTCTACTAAAAATACAAAAATTAACTGGGCATGGTGGCACGTGCCTGTAATCCCAGCTACTCGGGAGGCTGAGGCAGGAGAATCCCTTGATCCCGGGAGGTGGAGGTTGCAGTGAGCCGAGATCGCACCACTGCACTCCAGCCTGGGTGACAGAGGGAGACTTCATCTCAAAAAAAAAAAAAAAAATCAAACTACAGGTAGTGTCATCAGGGGTTAGCATTCTTATTCAAGAGCCCCTTAAAATGATAAATCAGACTGACAAATGATTTTTTTCCCAAATATGAATAATGATCCCTGTTAGGCAAATAAGGATGTTAATTTATTTTACCATCTCATAAGAATAATATATGGAAATAAAATTTTCTTGTTTTCTGATTGAAGTTAAAAAACCCAGGTCCATCTAAAATATGTAAAGTAAAAATCATCCAAATTTCTAGCATCCAAAGATAACCACATATCGTTTGTACTTTAAAAATATAATGTATTGGCCGGGCACGGTGGCTCACGCCTGTAATCCCAGCACTTTGGGAGTCTGAGGTGGGTGGATCACGAGGTCTGGAGTTCAAAACCAGCCTGGCCAACGTGGTGAAACCCCATCTCTACAAAAAAAAATACAAAAATTAGCTGGTCATGGTGGCTTGTGCCTGTAATTCTAGCTACTTGGGAGGCTGAGGTAGGAGAATTGCTTGAATCGGGGAGGCGGAGGTTGCAGTGAGCTAAGATCGCACCACTGCAGTCCAGCCTGGGCTACAGAGCGAGACTCCATATCAAATATATATACATATATATATATTTTATATATGTATATTTTATATATACATATAAAATCTCACACACACACACACACACACACACACACATATATGATGTACCTGTGGGGATAATCAGCTGGGGGGGTCTGGGTAAGTGGTATATTTGGGAGACATTTGTAAAATTGTACTAGAACTTACAAATAGGTAAGTAACACTTTCCTCACTGTAGAATTTTTGATCTTGGTCCCCTTCTTTATATAATCTGTCAAGAGAATTCTAAAGTGATGATGATAAATAACATTTATTGAGGACCTAATCTGTGTCAAGCACTGGGCTAAGAATGTACATGCATTTTTCCATTGAATTCTCATGTAACTCACAAAGTGGGTGCAATTATTATCTCTATTTTCCAGAGACTGAAGTTTATGTGGAAGTCACCTTTAGAAGATTTAAATCCAATTGTGTTTAAAGTCTTATTTAAGAAACTAAAATTATTTCATGAAAGCTTCTTGATTTGCTAAAATGGGAGAAAACAAAATCAACTAATATACTGTAGTTCCTATGCCTGAACAAAGAGCCCAATTGTAAAGTGGTCTTTTGAAAACTAAGAATTTTATGTTTGACCACAAGGGGGTGCAAATTCCTGAGATAATTTCAAAGAAAAACGGGAAAGTTGCTTTTACTTCAGTCCATCAAGTTCATGGGTTAAAACTAGTAAGATTTCCTGCCTGGAACTTTAATACTCTACAAAGTAATGTACTTTATAAGAAGAAAGAACTCAATTATTTAGGTGCTTAATTAGGGCCGAAGTGTCAGCTTGCTTTCTTCAATACAGTCAGGAGTTAATCATCCCTCTCCCACCCCTTTCCACTCACAGTTAGTTTATGTCTCTGCATATTCCTCTTTACTTGTCATAAGAATAGAACTGAAGTCATAATTTAAAATCTGGGGTTTTGCTCTTGGAAACTGGAATGCAACCACTAGCAAATGAATGGTAAATATGGGTAGTATGGAGAACAGAGGTCTTGTAATTTCTTTGCTTATTATTACAACTTTTTAGATAGTCTTGCTGTATCACCCAGGCTGGAGTGCAGTGGTGCGATCTAAGCTCACTGCAACCTCCGCCTCCCCAGCTGAAACAATTCTGGTGCCTCAGCCTCCCAAGTAGCTAGAATTACAGGCTAGATTCGAGCCACCATGCCCAGCTACTTTTTAAATTTTTTTTTATTTTTAGTAGAGACAGGGTTTCACCATGTTGGCTGGGCAGATCTCAAACTCCTTACCCTCAAGTGATCGTCCCACCTTGACCTCCCAAAGTGCTGGGATTACAGGCGTGGACCACCGCACCCATCTTATTTGCCCTTTATACTAGACCTGCAGACTTGCTTTGGGACATTTTCTCCACTAACTATAAAATACATGTACATTAAAGAAAACTAAGAAAAAAAGAACGATTGGAAGGCATTGCTTCTGAAGGCCTCTTAACAATATACCTCTTTCCTCATCTCCTTTCTCAGTTGACCAAAGACGACTCCATGTTTGTCTTTTATGTATATTAGCATGATTGAGTTTCATCTATTTAGCCTTATTGAATAGTTTACTTGTTTCTCTTCTTCAGAAAAACTACACTTTGATATCTAGAGAGAGAGACAGAGAGAGAGAGAATGAATGTGTGTGTGTGTGTGTGTGTGTGTGTGTGTTTAAGTGTGTGGGATGGAACACCGGGACAGGGGAAGGAGATGACAAGTTCAGTGAGGACATTTTGAATATGAACGATTAAGCACCCATGGGATATCTAAGGAGAGAAGTTCAGTCAAGAGCTCAGTATACGTGACTGAGGCTTGGGAGAAAGGCTTGGGCTGGGAATGGATATCACTAAATAGGTGTTGGTTGAGATTATGAAGAAAATGGATGCTGTTCCTCACAGAGACTAAACATAGAGGAAGTGAGAACCAAAATTAGTAAATGGACAAAGTAAGAGGAAGCAGCAAATGACTGAGAAGGAATGGCTGAGAGAGGGGCAGTAACACCAACAGAGCTCAGGGTTATAGGAGCCTGTGGTAGAGAGGTTTCAAAAGGAAAGAAGTTAGGAGTGTCAGAAAGTAAAGACAGGCCAAGTAAACTGAAAAAGATCAAATGATTTGGCAGTTCTGTCATTAGTTATGTTTGCCAGAAAACTTTGAATGAAACAATGGTAGCAGAATTCTGTGTTGAGTTGAAAAGTATGTTAAAATAGAGAAAGGTTACTATAAATTTATATTATTTCAAGGCTCTTGACTTTTTGTTAAAAACAAAGGATGATAATTGTAGGGAGGAGTTTACAGAATAGAGGAGGGGATCTACAGGAAAAGAGAGGTAACATTTTTATAAAGTATGGGGACAGAGTCATCAGAGAGGAGGAATTAAAAAGAGAAAGGATAAAGTAAAGCGAGATCTGGTAGGAGATAAGGGTGCAGGTAAAGAAATTAACCCGGAAAAGAGGAAGGATACTTTTTCCTCTGAGACTAGAAGGGAACAGATGAAGATAGTTTTATGTATAACAGGGAGTTTACAGTTGATAGTTTATTTATTTTTTTTTCTGATAAAGGAGTCATAAAAAGGTGGGGCACGGTGGCTCTCGCCTGTAATTCCTGCACTTTGGGAGGCCGAGGTGGGTGGATCACCTGAGGTCAGGAGATTGAGACCAGCTTGGCCAACATGGTGAAACCCCATCTTTACTAAAAATATAAAAATTGGCCGGCTGTGGTGGCAGATGCCTGTGGTGGCAGATTCAGGAGAATCATTTGAACCCGGGAGGCAGACGTTGCAGTGAGCTGAGATGGCACCAGTGCATTCCAGTCTGAGTGACAGGGTGACACTCTGTCTCAAAAATATAAATTTTTTAAAAGATACTTAAAAAAAAACTTAATAAAAAAAGGAGTCATGAAAGAGTAAGGGTAGAGGTGAAGTAGCAAGTTTGAGTTGAAGTAAGATGGTACAAAATACATGTTCTAGGTAATGGGAGAGGAAATTAATGAGGGAGGAAGGCTGCTAGCAGGATGGGGTGATATACCTGAGAACCCAGGCTGGATAGGAAAAGATAATGAAGCATGTGGGAGACTGTTGTTGAAGAAATGAGAATAGTTGAGGAATGGGTGTCAAAATTAGGTAAGAATGCAAGTTATCAGAAGGTTGAGGGTGTAGCTTTGGGTGTGGATTGATGAATGAAGTGGTTTTATGGAGTCAGAGTTCATAATTTCTCAATGAGTTTTCCATAAGGACACTGAAGTGGGAGGTGATGGCAGAAAATGCAGCGGAAGCCGATACTGTTAGCAAAAGGCCAGAGTCTTCAACAAGAGGGAATGACTGGGTAATTAATGAAAGTGAAAGAGAGGAGTAAAAAATTCCCAATGTTGTTTCATCATGCCTTTTTTTTTTTCTCATAAATTAAGATACATGAGGACAAGTATGTCTGAATTAATTCAACAAATGAAAATATTTGTTGAATTAGTAAGTGAATGATAAGCTCATGTTGAATAAGTATTTCAGAAAACTTTAGATTTTATTATAAGCAATTGATATTAAAGAAAATACGAATGAGCAGGATGTAGGAAAAAATAATCCCATCAGCCAGAAATAACTACCCCAACACCCTTTGTTATTAAACTTTATACCTGTTTGTTGTTTATATATATTTTTTCCTAGCAATATTCATTATATACTTTAATGGCTAAATAAGTATTTTCTTATGAAATGTAAGGATGTACTATAATTTAAGCAGTTCTTATTTTGGGGCATTTATATTGATTCCACTCAAGTTTTTTCTACTGGCAAAGCAAAAAATCTAATAGCTGTTTTTTTTTTTTTTTTTTAACACAGAGTTTCATTCTTGTTGCCTAGGCTGGAGTGCAATGGCACGATCTTGGCTTACTGTAACCTCTGCCTTGTGGGTTCAAGCAATTCTGCCACCTCAGCCTGCCGAGTAGCTGGGATTATAGGCAGGAGCCACCATGCCTGGCTAAGTTTTGTATTTTTGGTAGAGATGGGGTTTCACCATGTTGGCCAGGCTGATCTTGAACTCCTGACGTCGGCTGATCTGCCCGCCTTGGCCTCCCAAAGTGTTGGGATTATAAGTGTGAGTCACCATATCTGGGATAGCTAAATTTTTGCCTTACTTATTTTCTTAGGATTCTTAGAAGATTTTCTGGTAGGGGCTTCATAGAGATACTATTTATCTTTATTTTAGGGCCATTTCCAACAGGCTTGTCTATGTGCATTCCATTCAGGATTGAGACCCTGGACAATGGACAGTGTTGCAGGTGTTGACTGATACAAGCATGCTGTCAGCCACACAAGTGAGAACTGTTAAATACAAGTCTTTCTTCACAAGAAGAATGATGGGTATTTTTAAAACTTGGAATCAAGTATAGTTTTCATGAGCACAGTAAGAGATGATTCATGAGCTGAATACAGGATATAGTAGTCATTTCAGAAATGCATATTTAAGTTAAAGAAAAACCTCTTAAAACATTTGTTGATAATATTCAACTTTAGTAGAGGTTTTTTTTCCATAAATTTAAAAACTGTAGCAAAATACTCATAAAGTGTATCAAGTTAACCATTATCAAGTATACAGTTCAGTGGTATTAAATACATTCATAATGTTGTAACCATCACCACCATCCACCTTCATAACTAGTAGAGGTATTAATGTACCAATGTTGAATAGTCATCAAAATCACCGCACCTCAAACTTTTTCACAAAAGTATGGTTAATAGCAGAGAAGACTGAACAATTGCCTTAACAACTTGGTTCCAAGCCAGAATTTTCTTTAGCTTCATGTTTTATCTTAAATTTAATGTAACTATAGTGCTATATACCAAATGTGCCTATATTTAGTAAAATATAATGATTACACTTTTTTTCTTTTTTTTTTTTTTGAGATGGAATCTCGGTCTGTCACCAAGCTGGAGTGAAGTGGTGTGATCTCAGCTCACTGCAACCTCCACCTCCCGGGTTCAAGTGATTTTCCTGCCTCAGCCTCCCGAGCAGCTGGGACTACAGGCGCGCACCACCACACCCAGCTAATTTTTATATTTTTAGTAGAGATGGGGTTTCACCATGTTGGCCAGGATGGTCTGGATCTCCTGATCTCGTGATCCGCCCACCTCAGCCTTCCAAAGTGCTGGGATTTCAGGCATGAGCCACTGTGCCTGGCTTGATTATACATTTTTTCAAAATCTCTGAGGGAGGTTGATATCTAAGGAGATGCACCATGTTTATTCAGTGGCTTTTAACCCCTGCTGATACACCAAAAGTCCGCCTTGTCCCAAGCAGGACTTTCAGAGGCAAGGTTCTAAGCTAATAGTTGAATAATATGCTTCTTTTCATCTTTCTTTTCTTTTTTTTTTCTGAGCTAGAGTCTTGCTCTGTCACCCAGGCTGCAGTGCGGTGGCCTAATCTTGGCTCACTGCAACCTCCACCTCATGGGTTCAAGCAATTCTCTTGCCTCGGCCTCCCAAGTAGCTGGGATTACAGGTGCACACCATCACACCTATTTTGTATTTATAGTAGAGATGAGGCCAACATTCAAGACCATGTTGGCCAGGATGGTCTTGAATTCCTGACCTCAAGAGAGCCACACACCTTGGCCTAACAAAGTACTGGGATTACAGGCATGAGCCACCGCAGCTGGCCTTTTTTTATTACTTTTTTTGAGATGGAAGTCTCACTGTCTCCCAGGCTGGAGTCAAGTGGTATGATCTTGGCTCACTGCAACCTCTGCCTCCCAGGTTCAAGTGATTCTCATACCTCAGTCTCTCGAATAGCTGGGATTATTATAGGTGTGCGCCACCACGCCTTGGCTAATTTTTGTATTTTAGTAGAGACGGGTTTTGCCATGTTGGCCAGGCTGATCTTGAATTCCTCACCTCAGGTGATTCGCCTTCCTTGGCCTCCCAAAGTGCTGGGATTACAGGTGTGAGCCATCATACCCAGCCTCCATTTTTCTTTTATGGTTTAGCCAGGGCTGTATATAGTAGTGTATGTCAAGAAGTAGACTGATTGATGCTCACCCTCTTCAAATGTGAGAGTGTTACAGAAACTGAAATTCACAAAGTAAAAATTCAGAAGTATCCTTTTATATTATATTTGCCCTAATAATCATATATACTTCATCATTATTAATGCCATGAGACAATCTTATTGTACAAATAAAGTGAATGATTTCATGTGCTGGCTAGGGCCATAGTCCCACCTTTCCAAAGAGTATCAGCTTCTCAACTATCCATGCATTATGACTCTTGAGACTTGGAAACCCTCTCAGGTGTAATAATTTTGCTCTTCATGCTTGGTCCCATTTCAGGAGATTGTTGACCACATTGAAGGATAGTTGCAAAATTGGAACTAAAGTCTGGGTTTCTTAACTCCTAGTTGAAGGTCTTTCCAATTACACCAAAAGGAAAACAGTTACATATAACAAGAGATAAGACTTACTCCTACCTGCCCCCACAAAACCACTTTAAGCCATCCTAAGAACGGTCTCTTTTTTTCTCCCTCTTTCTCTCCTTCCCTTCAGCTTTCCTTTCTTCTTCCTACCTTTTTTGGGGGTAACTCCCAAGCACTGCAGTTCTCAGAATCAAAAGGTTAAGAATATTTTAGTACTCTCCAAGATACAAAGGGGTGACTACTTATTAGAGTTTGTTTCTCAAGCTTGGCACATAAAGCTCAGAGCTCAGAACAGTAGAATTTTAGAAAGGAATTGATAGACATGAAAGAGGCTGCTGGAATATGAAAAAACTGGAGTAAAAATAAGCAAATCAATACTTCTGAAATAAAGGCTTCATGGTAGAAAAAGAATTAAGTCACAAAAATGACTTAGCAGAGATTCTTGATTTCCAATTCTTGAAGATTGCTATCTAATGGTATTCTAAAATGTTTACCAAATTATGAGTTTTATTACTTTTTAAAAAACCTAAAAACAAATCCAGAGTTACAGAGTGACCTGGTTTATCCTGTGTGGTAAGTTTTCAGTTCCAGTTACTAGGCAAAAAAAAAAAAAAAAAAAAAAATTGCTAATAGGTAACAGTGTTCAAACAAGTGATTGGTAGAATAAAACAAAAGGGATTCATATAACTTTTGTACTGTCTTCTTGAAGAAGACATATTTGGCCATAAAAGCTCATACATGCTTTAGGAATTGAAATGATTTTACCTGACTTTTTTCAAGTGAGATTTGTTGAAGAATAATGGACTTATGTTGTCAGCTATGGGCTTAAGCATTAATTCACTTTGGACTGCTTCAATTCAACAGTATGCTGTCTGTACATAGAGTTACATGGAATTTAATTTTAGCAATGGAATCTATTTGAGATAGCATTATCTTTTATATTCAACTGAAAAATTATGGGGCTCTAGAATTAAGTGTTATTAAGCTAATATAGACAGAATAGCTGTATTACAAGGAAATAAGCAAGGATAATCTGTGTACAGGGTTTGAATCATATAGGGTTTGAATCATAGTCTCACTAGGGATGTGTTCTTTAAATTGTGAATGTTTGTTGATTCAAAACCATTTGAAAATTGTGAGGTAGACAGAAAAGGGGAGAATATTTGGATATATAATTTAGATGTATAGTTTGCTTATCAGGGAATGGTTAAGTTCCTTTTTTCTGTATATTTTAATTGGTGAAATTAACAGCTTTTGTTCTTCAAGATTACTTTGTAAAAGAACATGGCATTTTATAGATGAGATAATTGAGGTTCATATATGTTGAGTTATAATGTGTGGAGGAGTCTGATGTGCATCCAAGTCTGTCTGCCCCTAATGTCTCTGTTTTTAACCACTATTCTCAGAGTGAAATACATTCATATTTTAGAGATCAATTCTTAAGTCATTTTTACTCACAAAATTAATCTGTGAAGTACCCACTGTTTTCAGTTTCTCTCCCTCTCACTTTGTCTTTCAAGCACTTTGCAGTGTTTAATGAAAGTGAATTTTTCTGAAATTATTATTTTCATGTTTTTTATCAGAGGATTAACTATGTTGCTAAGATCATGTAGTAAGTCTTTTGTAGGGCTAAATCCTAAACTTAAAGATTGCCTTGAAGTATATTATTTAGCTATTGCATTATTAATCCCTAAGTAATGAGCCACAAACTGAGCACGCCTTCACAAATCACAAGAATAAGACCCAAAGAATCAGACTTTTCCAAGTAACTTAACTGCATTCCAGGACAAAACTCAGGAACATTTAGAGGAACAGAAGAATATTCAGCAACCAACAGATAAAATTCATAATGCCTTGCCAGGCATGCAAAGAAGCCAGAAAAATGATCCACAATGATGAGAATAATCAGTCATCTGAAAGTGACCTTAAACATAGAAAGATAATAGAATTAGTAAAGACATTGAACGTTATTATAGCTATATTCTATATTTTCAGAAAGTAGAAACATGAAAGACATTTTTAAAAACCCAAGATGCAGTTCTAGGGATGAAAACTACAATATCTGAGATCTACTAATGGTATTTGTAGCAGATTAGACATGGCAGAAGAAAAGGTTAGTGAATTTGAAGGATACAGAAAAATAAACTATTCAAAAATGAAAGAGAAAGAAAAGAATGACAAAAGCATCAGTGAGCTATGGGACAAACCTCCAGAAGCCTTATGTATACATAATCAGAGACATCAAAGGAGAGGAGAGGCAGATACAAAAGGGATATTTGAAAAAATAATGGTCAGAATTTTCAGATTGGGCAAAAACTATTAACTCACAGATTCTAGAAGCTCAACAAGAAGAAAACTACACCAAGGAATGTCATAATCAAATTGTTCAAAACCAATAAAATATATTGAAAGCAGCCAGAGAAAATACATGTTATAGAGTAATGAAGTTTGACAGCAGATTTCTCATCAGAAACATTGCAAGTGAAGAGACAGTAAAACATAAAGTTCTGAAAGAAAAAAAAAAATGTAAACCTAGGATTTGATACCCAGCAAAACATCAATTCAAAAAACAAAGGCAAAATAAAGATATTTTCAGACATAAGAAAACACATAACTCTTTAATATCAAGTAGACTGAAGGTAGATTGTGGCAGTTTGAAGATGTATACTGCCCTAAGACAACCAGTAAAATAATAATACAGTTATAGCTAATAAGTCAACAAAGGAGGTAAGATAGAATCACACACAAAAATTACTCAACTCAAAAGAAGATTGAAAAAAAAGGGAAAAGGAACAAATAAGAGGTGAAACTAATAGAAAAACAGCAAGATGATAGACTCTAATCATACCAGCAATCACATTAAATGTATATTATCTAAATGTCCTACTTAAAAGGCAAAGATTGTCA